ATATATATATATATATATATATATATATATATATATATATATATATATATACATACATACATATACATATATATACATATGTGTGTGTGTGTGTACATATATATGTATATATATATATATATATATATATATATATATATATATATATATATATATATACATACATATACATATACATATATATACATATGTGTGTGTGTGTACATATATATGTATATATATATATATATATATATATATATATATATATATATATATATACATATATTTATATTAAGAGTAGGATCAGAGAGCTAATATACATAGAATTGAACCAACTAGTTATGAACATTTCGACACTTGCAGCACAGTATGCCATGTATATGCAATGCTGAGTGTAGAAACAGTAGCAAATAGTGTCGTTATTCCCACATTAAGCGGAGCTGGGAACATCTCACGTATCGTCCATCTCGCCAAAAGTGCACCAAAGGAAAGCTTTTGTTGAGTCACGCTGTCAGTACCACGTGACTTCGTGAGCTGTTGCTTTGTCGCCGAGTCACGTGCCGGAGGAGGAGGAGGAGGAGGAGGAGAGTTTGTGTGGCTGTGGTTGGCGGGGAGAGCTTTTGTGTTTGTGCTTGTTTGAGCGGGGATTCGTTTATGGTTGTGTTTCGGTCTATTTGTTTGTGTTTTGGGTGTCTTGGTTTATGTTTGTTTCTGTGTGTGTGTGTGTGCGTGTGTATGTGTGTGTGTGTGTACATGTGCGTGCGTGCGTGTATGCGTGTGTTGTGTAAGCATGTTATTTTTATTCACAGCGATCAGTACTCGACATGGCAGTTAGTATTTGCAGAAGACTGCAGATAACATTTTGTTTCGTTCTGTCTTTCCCGTCTAAATATTACTTCATGTTATACCTACCATATCGCTATCATATAAAATAGTTTATTTCACCTGCATTCTTAAATAATTGTATCAAACCAATTTCATGCAATCTTCCAAATACTTGACTTCGTATGACAGCACACCTATGACAGCGCCTTCAGTTTCGTGCCATAACAGTGACACTCTTCGTTAGTTTCCCTTTAATTTTCCTTGTTTGTTACGTATCTCTTCTGTGTTGCTGAAAATCAAAACTTTTCTCTGCCATGTTAGGTGAATAAAGTTAGGAGAGTCAGAAGAATTTAAATATTGTATTAACATTTTCTTATAAGCGTGTGAGTTCTGTTTCTGATGAGTTTATATTTATGTTTCTTTATTCACTTTATGCGACTCTATTCTTGATAATAAAAAGTAAATAGTTATAAATTTGTGAAGGGAAATACTGAAACAAAATAACAGTGTTTACCAGGTAAAAGGAAGTCGTGTTTCATGACGTCTGACCTTAAAGATGAAAAGATGAAACGGTTGTGTTAGACAATGCCGTACCCAGTGACTTCGTTGAGTAAAGTCCTATCACACGGGCATAAAATCCTTGACATCAAGGCATTTTGTATTCGCAAGAACCATTATTCCGGGCGTAGGATAGTTCAGACTTCAGTGTTTTATTTTCAAATATATATAATGCTTATTTTATAATATATGTATTCAGTTGTATTCGAGTGTCAGATACAACTCGAAAATCTGAAACATAGATAATATCCATGAATAAAACAAATGACCATCATAGTCTGTTTACATTCAGACGTCGGTTCGTGTCGGTGAGCGAGGATGGATGTATAGTTAATTACGTCTCCACATTCTCTATATCTTCCTTTCAACCTAAATTTTCTCATGTGAGGGCTGTGAATATTTAAGAAGTGCATAAAAAAACATACATACCTCACATGAATCGATAGATAGATATGTATATGTAGATATATATGTGTACATATATATATCGTCGTGTATGTTAATATATCAGTAAGATCAATTTTTAATGAATTTTCAGAAGGCAAAACATATTTTGTCTGTGTATAACCACAGTACTAAATTAAGGAAATGGCGGCTTGTTGAGGAGGGGCGGCACAGAATCATTAAGATTAATAGACTAATTAATTTTTTTTTTTTTATAATATAGGTATACTTTGTGGAGAAACATAATACATAAATAGATGCATAAGCAAAAGGTATCATAAGCCGATACATTATTATATGACCCTCCCCGCCCACACACCTTGGGCACATCCAGAGTAAGTACCCAATATGAAAAAAAGACCATGTCAGTTTTGTTCACGCTCCAGCTGATCAGCCGAAAGATGACCTTAAAATTTCAAAATCATGTTCTGAAGATTATGGTGGAAATAACTGCAAAGTTAAGCCGCGAGAGGGGCGTGAGTTCGCCCAAGAAGAATAACTGTACCTGAGTAACAGGGTTGCCGTTTCCGCAACAGCCGGAGCGGGGGCGGGGGGCGGGGAGAGGGAGGAGGGGGAGGAATAGGATGGGTGGAGGTGGGGGTGGGAGGATGGAGTAAGGTAGAGGAGGGGATGGGGTGGGGTGGGAGGGGGAGGAGGGAGTAAAGGGAGGTGGGGAAGACCGGGGTGGGGGAGGGATGGTGTATGGGGGGAAGAGGTGCAAGAAAATAAAAATAGAGGAGGGTAGGAGGAAGGAGGGAGAGGGTGGTAGGAAGGAGGGAGGAAGAGAGAGAGGGAAGGAGAGTATGGTGGGGAGACAGGGTTACAAACATTTTTTTTTTCGAGAACAGTCATTTGAGTAATGTTAAGACCCTGACTTGCGTTACCGAGATGCGGAGGAAGATTTTTGTGTATGGAACGTTCGACCGGGTGTCTGTGTCACACTTACTGTATCTGTGCACGTCTATGTTTGCATCACGTGCATGTCGGTGTTTGGGTCTGGTTAGCAGAACTGAAATCGTTGTAATATAGTTCTTCAGTGTATTTAACTCTATTTCAGGATATCCCACTAAAATGATATAAGATTATAACATATCCGGTTAAAAACACAAGAAAATTGTCAGGAAGTTGTTTACTAAAGTGTTACGAATATAAAACAAGGAAGTGGTCAATGGCCAGACAAGAAATAAACAGGCCTAACCAACACTTGCGGGCGAATAAGGGACAAACAGATGCTGTCACGACACTTACCAGAACATTTCCTATCTCTGAACAACGACTAAAAATGAAGAAAAGTACAGGTTAATTATGATAAAATTCATTAACAGTTAATGATGATATTCGGTTTAGGGACATGTTCGAGATTTCGCATGTGCTTCTTATAGAACTTATTTCGAACTAAAGAAGCATCATGAAAAAATAATAGAAAATACCTGATTACTGATTTTTACTTAAGGCGTGTGACTCGTACAATATTAGGAGACAATAGATTTACTCAGAAATAAACAAATCCACAGCAATGGATAACGTAAAAACAATCAGGTAATACATAATACAGTCAATGAAATTTCTAAAGGGCTAATGAACTTTCACTTAGGAATAATTCAAAAGTTCAGCAATATATCCATTTAATCTGTACTGGAATGGAGCTTAGATATTTAAGAATATAATTCACCTATCTTCCACTAAACACAATTGAACTATTGAACAAAATTTTCACTTTGATAACCTGAGCATACCCAATATCAAATAGTTTTGAACTGCGTACTATCAGTTAGAATCAATAATTGGTAAATTATCATTAACTAATGAAGATCCAGAACTTTCACCTTGATGGGTAAACTTTCATGCTCGTCTCAGGGAACTTTATCAAACTGTTGTTGTTGTGCAAATGAAGCAGAATGACATTCAGGTTCTAATTCTATCTGGTAGCTCAGCATCACCTCACGGAACCGTTGGGGCGCCAATAAGTATATACAACCTGCTACAAGCTGGTACCTTAGCATCACCGCACGCAACCACCACAACGCCAAGAGTACATATACTATATTCTATAACATGCTGTGCAATGCATAAGACATATTTTTATTATAAAATAAGTAACACTTGGATTAGGTTCAGGTTGAGACAGCAACATAAGTACGCTATAGCGACCCGAAATAAGACGTATTCATGGTGATTTACAGCGATTGTACCATATCGTGAGTACAACGTGTGCTTATTATGGCTACGTGGTGATTTGTGATGAATTATGATGGTGATGCTTTATATCAAGAACAAGTGCAGACACGCCAAGTGATTAAGCAACAGAGAGATGAAAAAAATTCCATCAAATACGTCTGCAACACGTCACGGCGAAGAGTACGGACCAGTATACTTATGCGTGCATGACTGCGTGTATATATGTAGACTGAAAACCGTATTTGAGCGTATATCCGTGTGAACGCATGTTTGTAGCTAGCGTATGTCATTTGCGAAGTCATCTTTCTGGTGGAGGAAAGCGGATTACGTAACGTTTGTACTTTTGCATCAGAATTCCAGTCGTATGGGTGAGCACACTTATTCAGGTCTTCCATTTCTCTCTCCTTGATATCAAGTAAGAATAAACAAAATCTTGTACGTGTGGCTCAATCTAGCATGTCAAGAAACGAAAAGAAAAATATTCACAAGGTATTATGCGTTATGATAAATTGACCAAAGTTCGGAATGTTTCTACCGTTGCGAAAATACAAATCAATTTCTAGTTATTCATTATTGTCCTTACAGGTATATGCTGAACCATCCTCAGTTCTATTCGGTAAATACCTGCTGTCCGACAAAAAAATTGTTTGCCTAAAAGCCGCAATTGTCCAGTGGCGCTTGCAGTCCGAGGTTTGGCGCACCTTTCCTTCGTGGGATTTAGCCGTGGTCAGAATTATCGAGTGTTTAGTATATCTATGATATCTAATTTCATATCTATGTCCAAGTAACCAGCAAGGGGTACTAGTGCAGAAGACTAATGTAGGGTCAGGTCCCAAGATGCCAGATTTAGCAGGCTGTCTATTTCAGAAAGAGATAAATAAAGAAGGAAGATGAAAAGAGAAAGTGGCAATGGACCTCTTAGATATTCTTACAGCTAACTAGTTAAAGCCAATATTCCCGAACAGAACAAGATATGCCAAACACTAAGCTGAGTTGTGTCTCTCCTTTCGCAGGGAAGGCAGCATGAGGCAGGCAGGAAGTCCGATCGCCAGCACCTCCTCTTCAGCATGACGTCCGTTTTGTGTCGGAGGCGAGGTGGCCTCCTTTACCTCACCTGCTCATGCTTGCTGCTGGCGTTCTGCTTCTTCACGTCCGTCCTCAAGCCGAGCGGCCTCCGCCAATCCCGCAGCCTGGAGGTGTACCCTTGGCAGATGATTGACTATGACGACTACGACTGCGGATGCTCCAGGTCTGGTCCGCCAATCGTGAGGGAGAGCGAGCAGTCGATGTGCAGTGACTGGTCGACGAGTCGAGGCCTGGGCCAAAAAGTGGTGTCATATTCGCTATTCGGCAACATAAACAAAACTATCATTTATAATAAATATTTTTCAGCGTTCGAAGATCGACTGAAAGAAGTCGAAAAATATTACAAAGGTGAGCTCTCATCCAAAATTTAAGATAGTTCCTATATTCTCCCCCATGACACTACACTTTTTTGTCTCGTTACAAAAATAATCAGAAATGAAACATATTTTCACAAGTAATATTGATTACTATCAGAGATGACAAGATGCCAGAACTTATACCGAAATGATTTAATTGTGTCGTAGGATTATCTGAATACGCTAGATGCTGTTATTTTGTTTTCGGAATCGTATTAATATGACGTTTACAAAATCTCTCAGGTTGGACGGTTAGGTTGTACCACAACTTATCCCGGAGCGACGTTACCTCGCAGAAGTACCTGTGCCGCCTGTATTGCCAATACCCCCACCTGGACCTCTGCCAGGTGGACAACCTCTTTCCGCCGAAGGGCCAAAATGCGGACAATTCTGGACACAGTAATGATTCTTCGGCGACGCTGAGTGAGGCACCAAAGCTTCCTGGCACTATTGGGGCGATAGCAATGGCCCGCCTCAAGGCCGCCGCTTCCTTCGGCATTCATGGTCAGTCTAACTGCTGGATCCGTAGTTCTGTGCAACAGCTGTTCGTTTATAATCGATTAATAACAGCGATATATCACATTGGATCAAGTCTTCGGTAAAGGAAAGAAAAACTCTCGTTTACATACACCCCAAGGAAGAGCAAAGACATATGTAGAGTAAATGCTTCTGGATTTGGGCTTGATACTTGGTTGTAACTGCTTTTCCCAACATGCTTAGTCTAACCACGTTCAAAATTAGGTACACCACACGTTGGCATTTTGGTAGTCGTAGGTATCTTTATTGCGATTTTTATGTCAAATATGTCAATTGTTTACGAGATCTAAGTACGACTTCCTGTTTTCAATATCAGACTTCCAGCATTCAACGGAAACACATAAACCAGATCCCCAGTGACATAAATCTCAGGAAATAATATTCCCACCGTACCGGGACACAATGAGACATATCTGCCAACGAAACAAAGGGCGGAAAGTAACCTCCACGTCCTCCTTCCCAGAGAGCTACGAGAAGAGGCTCGTGGGACGCATGTGGCGCTTCATCACGATGGCGGATCCCCTCGTGTCGGAGTTCCTGGTGCGGGACGTCGACTCCTCCGTGCTGCCCCGCGAGGTGGCCGCCGTCCAGCAGTGGCTCCACAACTCCACGGCGCTTCTGCACGTCATGCGCGATCACCCCAGCCACAACGGTGTCATCCTTGCAGGTCAGAGGCGAAACAAAGTGAGAGAGAGGGAAAGCGTGTGGGGATGGGAGTGAGAGAGGGAGGGAGAGAGAGCAGGGGGCGTGGGAGTGGAAAATGGAGAGGAAGGAGAGGGGGGAGAGAGGGGGAGAGGGAGGAGAAAAGAGAGGGAGTGGGAGAAGGAGAGAGAGGAAGAGGAAAAAAAGCGGAAAGAAAGAGAGAGAGAGAGAGAGAGAGAGAGAGAGAGAGAGAGAGAGAGAGAGAGAGAGAGAGAGAGAGAGAGAGAGGAAAGAGAGAGAAAAGAGAAAGAGGAGAGAACAGAAAAGAGACAGACCTCCCCAAAATAAATAAAAAAAAAAACACACAAAAATACAAAACCTACGAACTTACTTCTGACCTATTAGCACATCCACAGTGCTCTCAAAACAGCAAAACCTAATCCTCTCGACTCCACTCAACAAAAAATCCCCAAACAGCAAGCGACCCACCACCTCCTCCGCTTCACACGCAAACTCTCTCTTCTCAGGCATGTGGGGAGGGTCTCGAGATCGCGGCGGAGACTTCCTGAAGGAGCTGCTGGCGAAGATGGTCCGCTGGCCTCCGAGGAATATTTGGGACTACGACCAGATACTCCTGAAGAGGGTCGTGTGGCCGGAGGTCCTTGATGACGTAGTGAGTACCCGCTTTTTTTTTGTTTGTTTTTTTTGCTTTTAATTTTAGGAGATTGAGTTACTGAGTGTAGTAAGGGGTATCGTTGTGATGTTTGTAGGTTGGATAATGCTTGTGATAATAATAACAAAGTCATTTCTGCCGTATGTATCATCGTCATTATGATGATGATGACTGTGATGATGATGATGATAATGATAATAACAATAATAGTAATAACAA